TGACATCATGATGACGCGAAAAGGCGCCGATTTTTTTTTCGACCGGTCGGGGAATTTCTGTCACCGAATCGTTTGTTGAAGAAGGTAGTCCAAGCCTTGACCTCGAGGATAAAGCGCGACCAAACTCAGTGACTCACTCTCTCACCTTCGATACTCCGTTCCGTTTGGGCAATACGGTTATTGTTTTGCCACGTATATTTATTATACTGTATGCCAAGGTTATGCGGGGTATCCAGACTACCAAGGTAGTTTCCAAAATACAAAGGCCACCTGACGTGTGCGGGATCGGCGGGCCCTCGAAAAAAGCTGCCAGGCACAGCATAGTGACTCTACAATGCATCGAAGCTTAACCCGTTGCGACGGAGACCCACGTGTTTACCTTTCTATCTCTTGACATGGGCAGGAGGCAGAACTTGAAGCCAAGCTCGGCTCGAAAATCATTGCCATGCAGCGACCACGCTGGTCGATGATTTCTGTTCGGCAGGACTCTGAGCCGTACATACTTTGAAAATGCTCGCACGAGTGCTGTAGGATAGTTGTCGCCCAATCATAAACAAATGAAGTACCACTCTTGGGCTCGCTGGGACGGCGTGAAATAACCCACGGGGAGGCAAACAGACGAAGAATGAGACAGCGCCAGAAGGAACGAGCACGAGGTACGATCAGGTGAATCAACATACATCGGCGGAAATCGTTATGTGATATCGAAGGCGGCCTCGCCTAACCCTATACCCTTGCGGCAGCGTAAACGGAATATCTTGAAATCAGCCATTTTGCCCCGAGGCAGGGCGCGAATGCGCCAACGAGTTCATGAAGCAGGTCCGCCTGACCAGCGTTTTTCCTCGTTGTGTTATTTTATCGTTTCAGAGCAGATATATATAGTGATGACTGAATATCGGACGTACTTCAAGAAGCTGATGTACTTCCAAAGAGGAATCCTAAAACGGAAAGCGCGGAAGAGACGAGCAGGTTGAAAACATTCAAGCACACAAAACACCAGACATACAAACCTACCCCCGGAGTTGAAGTTGAATATTTTGCAGGCGCTTGCCGTCCGGTGCGTCTTGGAGCTTTGAAAATAGCTCTTCGCACTGCAGACACAACCCATCCTGTGTGCTGGGGCCGGACTTGAACGTGAGGCCAAGCCCGCCGACAACGTTCGCGTTAAGCACGGCCAGGGCCAGGAATTGACACGTACCGGCTTGAAAGAACATGACGATACCCCCAGAAGCTGAAGAGAACACACGGGTACCACATGTTTGGTGCAGGGCGGAAATGTCTGCGTCACTGCTACAGAGTATGTGCAGGCGAAAATATTGCACGCTGTTGAGCAATAGCGTCTTCATGCCACGTTTTTGAAATGAAAACGACAAGATCTTCCGTCGTGGGTACACTGATAACGCATTGATGCACGGGATGATGCAAAAGGGAAGTCAAACAGAAACGGCTATCCATATGAACCATCAATGATTTCATGTAGGGCTACAGTACGGTGTAGGGCAGAGAAAGGTACATACGAGAAGAGTAACCTGGACACAAAATACAGATGTGCAAACAACAAACGAATGTGGTTGGAAATTATCGACAGTGGAAAGCGACTCCCTCCTTGCTATCTTAACATCGAATGTAATGTGCGGAACCTTGACGAACCAAGACCCGCCGCGCAATGACCTCTACATCAGCATCTCTCCGAGAATCGCGAAACCAATTCAATAAAGTTACACTAATAGACTAGACAACGCTGACTAGTGCAATGGTGTAACTTTATCGAAAAAAAAATATGCTCAGAGCTCAATAACACCCGGCTGGATCACAGGTGGGTCTACGGCTTTAATCACTGGGATTAATAGTGGGGATCTCCGGGGACGGACCCCTCGCCAGACGCTGATGGTTCTAGATGCACGTTTTAGACCCAAAAGTGATCCAGCCGGTAATTGAACTCGAGCGGGTTCTATATTGCGAAATAATATCCTACCTTTCTCGGTCAAATGCATGTGATGGCATGACGGGTTATGTCAACTATGCATCCTCTTTCTTTATTGCGTGCTCCCGGCGCACCGGCGGGGGTCGTACAGAAGAACATGCATTCGTGGCAAAAAGGGCAATCTCCCACACTACTGACATTTTTGCTAAACCGCCCACGGGCCGCCCATGGACACGACCGGGCACTCACTGCTGTAGAAGCGAGTAGGGCGGCCGAGGCAGCACTTGTGGCGAACTATGTACCCGGCTGATGTTGTTGCGTCCTGTTTTCCTCCCTGCTGTATGCTATACTCCTTGATGTATGTCCTTTGTATTGCCTCCGGCCTCTGTGCTGTGTTTCTGTTTTTTTCATGACCTCCCTGCCTGCTCTGCTGTGTTGGGTACCTTGATCTCGCTTTGCTATTGCCTTTGTTTTTGTGCGTCTGGCTGTCTGCCCACCTGCCGGCTCTTTGTCCTGTTTGCTCCCCCATCTTTTGTGGACTATAGAGCTAATGTGAGAAACAGCAATGGCAACAACAATTTCATGGTGAGCCCATCAAGTGCCCACCATGGCCACTTCAACCTACATAGAACTTATCCACCGGGTTATCAACCTAGAACTTAACAACCTGCACATCAACCTAGAATTTAGCCACCAGCGCCAACCTTGCACGTATAGTGTGAGCTTGGAGTAAGGGTTCGGAATAGCGTTTGGGTTATTAGCCCCTATAATGCCCATTCCAAAGCAGAAAATCAATCGTTTAGGAGTTGTTGTTGTTGTTGTTTCTCACATTAGCTCTTAGTCCACAAAAAATGGGGAGCCCGTGGTCTCAAAACCCGGCACATACGACGCCGAGGAAAAAAAAAGCCAAAATGAGGGTGCAAACCACTCGGAAGAAGCACACACACTGATAGAAAGAAAAGAACAAGTATCACACCGACCGTTCGAGAAAAGAGCCCTCGGAAACCGATCAAAATCTAACAATAACAAAAAAATAGGAGGACGCTTCCCACACCCGCCCAACGAAAAATCAAAGGGTAACGTACCAGCACTAGGCACTATGCACCAGGGCATGGGAGTAACGGAGAAAACAGGACAAAGAGGCGGCAGATGGGCAGACAGCCAGACGTAAAAAAACAAAGGCAACAGCAAAGCGAGATCAAGGTACCCAACACAGAGAGTAGGCAGGGAGGTCATGAAAAAAAAGAAACACAGCACAGAGGCCGAAGGCAATACAAAGGACATACATAAAAGAGTATAGCATACAGCAGGGAGGGAAACTGGGCGCACCAACATCAGCCGGGTACAGAGTTCGCCACAAGTGCTTCCTCGGCCGCCCTGCTCGCTTCTACAGCAGTGTTCGGTCGCCGTTTCTTCCCCCCCACCGCCGCTTCCCCGGCTCTCTTTTTTTCGGTCCTGAGATGGCCGTACTCTCTGCTTCTGCTTCCCTCGCGCGCTGGCGCTTCGCGGACGCTTCCGCCTCCTGCCTGTGCCATTTCCTCGTGAACCATGCCGCCCCGTCCTCCACCTTGTTGTGCCACACCTCCGGGTCCTTGACGCTCTGCTACCATTTCCCCCCTTTCTTTTCGTCTCCCATGTTGAAGGCCACGAGGTCCACTCCTAAACGAGACACCCAGACGCTCTCTTGCCCGCCCTGGTATCCCACGCCCCCCGCCATCGCTCCTAACAGCATGCGCTTGGGGAGGCGGCTGTCCTCCATGCGCATAAC